TACAAGTAACTAACCCTAACTGAAACATGTAAGTACATGTAGTTAAAGGAGTTGTTCACTAAATTAAAAAAAAAAAAAAAAACTTTTGCTGAGAATTTACACACCCCCATGTCATCCAAGATATCAATGTCATTCTTTCTTCATTTGAAAAGAAATTAAGGTTTTTGATAAAAACATTCCAGGATTTTTCCCATTGAAGTCCATTATATGGAGAAAAATGCTGGAATATTTTCATCTAAAACCTTAATTTCTTTTAGACTGAAGAAAGAAAGACATGGACATATTGGATGACATGGGGGTGAGTAAATTATCAGCAAAAGTTTTTTTTTTAAATGAACTAATCCTTTAATTAATATTACTCAGTACACTCTCAGAAAAAAAAGGTACAAAAGCTGTTACTGGGGCTGTATACTTTTATACCCAAAGGCTTCATATTGGTACCTTAGTGGTACATATTAGCACCTAAAATGTACATATTAACAACTAAAATGTACTTATTAGAACATAAAATGTACATATTAACACCTAAAATGTACATATTAGCACCTAAAATGGACAAAAGTTTACCTTTTGAAAAGGTACAGCCCCAGTGACGGCTTTTGTACCTTTTTTTTCTGAGAGTGTACTTATTTGAGTAAGTGCAATGCAACTATGTCACCTTAAAATAATGTGTAACCCACTCTAATTTGTCATTGACCCTCATATTGGAGAAACGCCTTCTGTTTTTCTCCTCTTGTTCATATTCTTCTCTGCAGCCCAGCTGAACTGAAGAGGGGGTGTGACCCGTGCCATTGTATTTGTGCAGAATATGGACTCTCTTCCTCTTTCTCCTCTTCTTTTTGCCACCTACGCCATCCTGTGTTATTTTTCCTACCAACAGAGACAGTTTATGCTCAGGCTAACTCTGATAAGACAGAATGTTGTGTTTGTCTTTTTAGTCGTTCGGCACTAGCCTTGTATCAATTTCATTATCTCCTCTTGCACACACTCGCGCTCATATACAATCTCTGTATTGCTATCCTTACTACAACTACAGGGCAGGAAATCCGTTGCCTTGAAAACAGTTTTAGTGGAGCTCCATTGTGTTGGTTTGTTCTTTCCAGAAAACCCATTGCCCACGTGAGAGGAGTGAACTTCCTGAGCGTTTTCTGTCGCACAGCGCGAACGCTCCATCAACTCCCAACAGGTTTTTTTGCTCAATAACACAGACTAAGACTTAGTTTTCTCTCATACAGGTTCTTTATTGGCATTGGTGGTTCTTTTGCCATTGGCCAAAAGGTTCTTTAGGTTAAGAAAGTACTTTGTTCACTGAAAGGTTCTTTGGGATGTCCACCATGATATTCATCTTTTGGAACCTTTCTTTTTTTAAGTGTTTATGTGTATGTGCTGCCCAGTTTTATATAGAAACAATGACTCTTTTTAGTCAAGCGAGTGAATTCTCCAGAGAGGGTCTTTGTGGGCCTATGGTCTTGTGCTGAGGGAGATTGCTGCTGGTGTGTGGAGGCTGAGAGGTTGTAAGTTGGAACCTTATGACGCATGGCTCAGTTTCTTTTGCTTGGCTGGGTGTCAGAATGATTACCAATAACACAAAGGCTTTCCCTCCAAGAACTGCTGTTGTTTCAGCTGTTGACGGAGAGGGAAAAAAAGGCAGGTTCCTCTACGGGTTGTTTTCTCAACCAGCTGCGTCCTTGTGGACGGTGTGTTTCTTTTTTTTTTTCCCTCATAGTTTTATCAACAACTCAAAAATAATAACAGGAAAGCAGTTGTGAAAACATTGTACCAGTCTTAATATTCTTTCGCCGTTTCACCTCGTTCATTTGAGTTATGAAACGGTCAGTCGGTGTTATTGGAGAAAGTGTGTGTGCTGTGCTTTCCTGAGGTCGTGGCAGGCTTCTTCTTTTCTCTGTAGGTCAGACATAATTAAAGGCACTGCTATGAAGGAGACGGGACAGCTGTTTCTCAGCATGTCTCATAACACTCCTTTGAGTGCAGAAGGACGTGCCAATCCAGCTCTCTGCTCTCCGTAGCGCGTCTCTATCAACAAGTGACAGGAGACGAGGCAGCCGTTTACATTTCCTTAAATCTGTAACTGTGGTCAAGTTTACTGGCCTGCCAATGTGTGAGCTTGCATTTGTCTACATATTATTTGACTGAATATTTTGAATGTTTCCTGTGTAAATACTAGGCTGAATCATAAATGCTTTTAGAATCACAAACGCAATTTTAAACACGGTCACATTTCACAGCAAATGAGGGTGTGTAGAAAGTTGTCGCTTGTGGTTACAGACACAGAGCAAATAGTCTATCGCTATTTCACGACCAATTTGTCAGTGATTAAAAAGTGGATAATTCATACTAATTCATGAGACCTCACTCATGTACAAATTCTTATGATTTGTCTAAACCCCTGTGATGGGTAGGTTTAGGGGCGGGGTCAGGGGTAGGTCATTCGTACGAATTGGCCAACTCGTAAAATATGTACGATTTAGCAAAAATTGTACTAATTCATACGAGTGAGGTCGTACGTAACGCGCGGAATGCAGACGGAGGGCAAGGAGTGAAGAGCGCAATGGACGAGATGGAGGAAAATCCATACTGTACTACTTTAGACGCTATTACAAGAGGGTTGTTGGACGTGATCCTTGCGTTATGAAGAGGACCGATTTCCAACTGAATTAAGAGATTTGCCTGCCATCGAGGCTGTAGATATCCGCAACTAACTCGTCTTACAGACATACTGTGTGTAACGTACCATTTTACGAACTTTGTAAAGTCAAACAGCCACATAAGTGTTTTTAAACACCTGAATAATGTAATTATAAGCCACATAAATAATATATTAACTCACATTTGACGAAGTGATCACTGCACACAAACACACACAGGCATTTTCCCATTCGGCTCCTCCCGACCGCAGACGTAGGTTTGCAAGGCATTTTTCCCGGTGTTTTTCTGTCAATTTATTGTATTTTTCCCCCCTAATGAAAAACAACTTTTGGCACACGATAAAAACTCCTCGTGGTTTGATCGATTTGAGCAACCATAAACGACGCAAAACATAGGCATTTTGAGTGTGTTATAGTGCTTCCTAAATATCGAAAATCACTTCCTGCCCTCCATCTGCATTTCGCGCCTTGGCAACGCAGTGGCGTGACGTCACGTGAAAACAAGCTATTAGCCACCTCGTAAAATTTGTACGAATTGCCATGAGATCGGGTTGAATCGCATCATATCAAGGATACACATGCATTGCGTTCACACCGGACGCGAATAGCGCGTCAGGCGCGAATGATTTCATTGTTAAGTCAATGCAAAGATGCGTTATGCACGTAAAAATTCCTGCGGCGTGAATGAGGCGTAGAGTGCGGAATGATTTAATTAGTGCTATTTGTTCATTCACACGTTTGACGGGAATTCACGTCTGCCGCCCGAGTTGAGAAATCTGAACTTTGGTGTAAATTTGCGCCGCGTTAACCAATCATTAGCCTGCTGCTTGCTCAAGTGGTGAAGTATCTGCATGCTTCAATAAATTATTTTGTAATATGACTAACTGCCTGGTGTGGTTCTAATGCACAACAAAGCAAATATTTTATCACTTCAAACTTTATTTCAATATACAAGACGTGTTATTTATTCCATATCTAGATTATATGAAATATTATTATGATGTAAAGATGTAAAATACATGTGCATAAGTTCGTGTCTGGACGTGAGAGAGAAAAAAATCACATAACAGGTTAATAACTTTTGGAGGCTGGCTCTATTTATCATCAAAACAAATGACAGATTAGATGGATGAGGGTGAGGGTGATCCTCACTTCGATACAGGACAACAGGTCATCAAATTGTGCGGCGAAACGGCGGAAGTACCGCTGACAGCAGACGTCATCCAATGGTGAAACTCGCCAAACGGTTCGCCTCAGAAGGGTCCGGTGGACGCATACAAATACGGCGACGATGATCCCCACACCGCTAATCTGCTCTCCAGAGAAAATACAGAGCGGTTACTCTCTCGATGAATGCTCGATCAACAGAAAAAAGATGGCCGCCAACGTGTTTCAATTCTGACGCGCATGACGCACGTAAATTTCGCTTCAAACTTTGTGTTAATTCGCGCGTCAAGAGTGAAACTGACACGCGTAAAAACAAAAGTGGTCAAGCGTCAAACTAGACGTGGTAGACGCAAATTTGACGTGCTATTCGGGTCCGGTGTGAACGCACAGTAACACATACGCGCTTTGGTCACTTCTGAGTTAGCCTGGCTAACGCCAGACGACGTATCATTGAGAATGAAACGTGGTCTGGAAACCACATGTTCAATTTCTCGTATTTGAGTCGTGGTTTACGAATGCCCAGAGCCGTATTATTGGGTGCTACAAATGTCAATCAAATGCGCCTGCGCTGCCTCCCCGTTCTGTGATTGGTTCCCTATTTCAGGGGAAAATTTGGTTCATGGTATCCAGACTGCCTAGCAGCGCGAATAAAATCGCGCTGTGGCAAGGCAGAATGGGGAAACCCAGGCTACTTCTGAGTAGAAATTTGTCCACAAAATATATGAAAGTAGGCACACACACATGCTGACATCGCTACAGGTTCATTAACGCATGAGAAATTGATTGACTTGGGCAAAGAGGGCTCAAATTAACAGAAATGAATTAAGCATTAGCACTTCAATTCACCCCTCATTCAGTTTGTCAAAGCACTTCCATTGTTTATGGCACATGCGACAAATGTTCCCAGTCGCACACGGTGACGTTGCACCTCCACCCAGTTGAAACAAACCTTTGTGCTAACCACGGACGTGACCCTGAACCGATTGTAATTATGGAAAAACCTTGGTTATGCCAAAAGCTGCCTCATTAACAACATAAAGACCAGTATAATAGTATTCCCATTTGAACCCATAGGACTCTTATTTGGCCATTGATTATGTGCTCAAGTTGTTAGTTCTAGATTAATGACTTTTTAATTCCCTCTATATGTTGTTTGCTTTATTTTAGAGTTTGATGATACCCCTGAAGCATAACTTACAAGCGGCCCTGCTCCAAGTCGTCTGACCCTTTTAAAACAGGCCAATTATAGCGCATTAATGGTGGTGCCATTTTAGAAAGATCTGGAGCAGAATCACCACATCTAAAGGTCAGTATTACCTCAGTGGAGTGATCCTATTGCTCTGTGAGTTATTTTATCGTGACTTTTTGTGAAGCACTAAAACGAAAATCAAGTGAAGCGAGAGTTCATTTCTTTTCATAGTTTATAGACCCTGCAGACTTCCCATGCGCTGGTTAAAATATGATCTGACATGCGAAGTGTTTTAAACACAGCCATGTGTTCCTGATCGTATTTTAGATCTTGAAATGGATTCTTGAGACCTCTCCTTTTAATTTTCGACGTCAGTAAGATATTGTAAAAAGCAGATTTAAACGTCAGCTCAGCCTTTTATCTGTGATTCATTGCAGGACATAAAAGGTTGAAATATTATGTCAAATCATTTGGTCATTGGCGTGTGTGTGAATTGCCTGGATGGATGCGCTGCAGCTTGTCACCTTCATGTCTCTTTATAGCCACAGACAGGGGTGTTGCGTTATCAATTTTGTCTGACAGCAGGACTTTTCATCCATCAGCATGCGCCCTTCTCCTTCAGGTCGAAAAAACGCCAATGTGAAACGTCTGCAAGCTGCCGTTCATCTCTGTTTGATGACATGTTGACAGTTATCTCAGCAGGCTTTTTTAATTAATAAAGCTATAAAACGGACCGTGATTCCCTGAAGTCTCCCCGGAGGCGTGGAGGAGGTGAGCGGGAGTGCGTTTTCAGAGTTTATTAGCGCCGTCGTTAAAACATCTTGATTAATCGAGACTCGGGTTTACACTGTGGAATTGTTTCTCGTTGATTGTTTCGGTTCAGTGACGCCTTCATTGAGCTGTAACTTACGCTGGGAAATGCTTTATGCCCGTCTGAATCTCAAGGAAACGTCAGGGTAATAGACCCGTCACTGTCATACCTGTCAAACACAGCAATTGTTTTCCTAATTAATATTTTTGTCTCGTAAAAAAAAAAAATCTTAAAGTAAGATTGATTTATTAAAGGAGTGGTTCACTTTTAAGAAAACTTTCGCTGATAATTTACTCACCCCCATGTCATCCAAGATATCGATGTCTTTCTTTCTTCAGTCGAAAAGAAATTAAGATTTTTTAATGGACTTCAATGGGAACCAAACGGTTCAAGGTCCAAAAGACACTTTCAGTACAAACTGCAAACTGTTCAAAGGGCTTTAAACGATTCCAGACGATGAATAAGGGTCTTATCAAGCAAGACGATCGCTCATTTAAAAAAATAAAATAACAAAGTTTGTTTTTTAAGCTCAAATGGTCGCCTTGCTCTGTTCTGTGATGTGCGTTCATTACTCTCCTATTCGATCTCGTTCATCAAAATGAACGAATCTTTTCCCGAGACTCATTCGTTGAATGAACCAAAAGACACGAAAAAAGATGTGTTCATTGTATGACTGACTTTCTTCTGTGGATACAAAAGAGGTTTAATTAAAATGTCTTTTCGTCTGTTGGTTTGGACCTCATTCACTTTCATTATGTAGACAAAGGCATTCTTCAAAATATCTTTGGGGAAACAAAGTCAAGTAGGTTTGGAAACACAAATCAGAGTTATATTAAAAAATATCCTGGCTCTTCCTAACTTTATGCTGGGAGTGAATGAGATTTTTAAGCCCCAAAAAGTACATCCATCCATCCATCCAAAGTTAAAGGCCTCCTGAAGCCATGCGTTTTTGCAAGAATTTTTTTTCATAATTCTAACTTCATAAACTGTAATCACTAGCTTCCAATAATGGAAATAATGAAATAACCCTTTAAAAATAAATTATTTTCAAAATTCTATGCATTTTTTTTTTCGGCATGGGGATATTCATTTGATCAAAAGTGACATTTGAAATAGATTTTTTTTTTTTGCATCAATGTAAAAATCTTTACTAAATGCTGTTCTTTTGAACTCTCAATTTCAATTAAAGATATAAAAAAAAGCACAACTGTTTTCAACGTTAATAGTAATATTAAGAGATTTTCTGAGCATCAAATCAGCATATTAGAAGGATTTCTGAAGGATCATGTCACATGTGACACTAAAGACTGGAGTAATGATGCTGAAAATTCAGCTTTGCCATCACAGGAATACATTACATTTAATATATTAAAATAGGTTTTATTGTAAAAAAACTCACAGTATTACTGTATTTTCAATCAAAAAAACAGCTGTGGTGAACAGTTGAAAAAAAAAAAAAAAACATTTCAAAAGTCTTACTGACCCCAAACCTTTGAACGCTATAAATAAATAACAGGTTTGCTTGGTGGCCTATATGCCTGTCAGTTACTGCCAAAATAGTGGAAATCTCAGTTTGCATTAGAGGTCTAATTCTTTGGATTTCATCTTTTTTTTTTTTTTTTTTTTTTTTTGCCATAGATTTACTCCAGAGTGGGTAATGTCTGAGTGTACATGTCTGTATGCTGGTCTGTTATGTGTCTCGCTAATTTCGCTCTCAAAACCGAATGTGTCCACTAGTATTTACATGAAATCCACCACACCCTTGTGTTTGCAGCATGTTAAACTTCAACGAGCCTATTTAAAATGCACACACACTCAACAGGTTCTTTTGGCCACAATGTGCAGCTTTGTGAGCCTGCCAAACGTTCAAATCCAAATCTGACGACCTCTGCGACTGGCCCCCTTCCAGTTCGTCTGCTTACAGGTGAATGTTCTCTTAACCTGACCTCCTCCCCAGTCCCATTACCTTGTTCTCTTTGGACTAGAGGCCCACTGCGCTGGAAAAGTCCAGCTGAGATCCAGACGCTCATTTGGGCCTAAGTCTGACATCTGACAGACTGGCGTCCCCCCTCCTGCCTGTATAATTCAGAGGGCCTGTTTGATTTTTTTTTTTTTTTAAACTGCCAGCCTGTGTCAGAGCCTCTGACAGAGGTGTGTGTGTGTGTGTGTGTCTGCTCAAGGAGAATGATCGATAGCTATTAGGCAGCAGCGACTCACTGAGCTCAGATGGGCTGTGCTGTTTGCACAGGTGCCCAACAATGTGTCGCTCTGCGCCAAACCTGTTCCACACCATTTAACCCCGTATGGTGGCAGGCAACTTCGACAGACCCCCACCTCAGAGCGAAAATCTCTCTCGCACTTGTGAGTCTCTGTGTTCGTGTTTCTCAGTTTCGGTGGGAAACATTTACAGGCTTTAAGACGTGAGGGGTAAGTGCATGACCCAAGGAGAGAGTTTCGGTTATATCTCTCTGTGATACAAGAGTGACAATGCACGTCCTCAGTCTGGCGAGCAACCGTGATGGAGAAACCGACATTTGATGAGTAAGAGACTTTCAGGACTGCTTGAAATAGTTTATAATCTACAATGGGATTTTCCAGAAACCAGTGGCCTGAAAATAGGGGTCATTGTTTAGTGTTTTTACTTAAGTCCTGACCCTTTCACACTTTTTTTCCATTTATTGGTTGGTGCACACGTTTGATTATTCGCCCTCCCCCCCCTACCCATCTCCCTCATGTTTCTTTTCACATTGTATTTTTTTTGGTCCAAATTGTGCTGCGTTTGAGTTTCACCATGGCCGCTGTTTGCCACCGTAATGACTCAAGAGGGGAAAGCGCTAGAAATGGAAAGCATTGTTCACATCATGTTTTTACTCATGTGTTTGTCCCTTTGCTTTTGCCACCAAAACTCAGCATGCACAAAACAAGCATTTGCCAAAATATGCAAGTAATGTGAACTAGGTGAATCCAGCTTGATTTGTTTTCTCGTGAATTGGGAACCAAAATGGAGATCATACTCCAGAATTCATATTGTTATCAATCTCATTTTCAAGCAGATCCTCAACCAAGGTTATTAACCCTTAAATGCATGGATGTTTTGCCAATCATTATTACATATTCGGGTCTTTAGCGACCCGGATCTATATCTTAACACAAATGGATCTCTAACTGTTGGGATAATATAAGACTATATCCTGATATTAGAGCAACAATTAAGAATGAAATAAAGCATATTTTGTTACCTTTTAGAACTTGGGAGGGTTCAGTTTGAGGAGATGTTTTATGCCATCTTCACTGTCCTCGTCTAGAGCTCATTTCCCAGTACATTCAGCATCTGGCTCATATTCACAATCTCAAACCTATTCTAACAAACAATTCTGACTTTATAACTCGCAATTGCTAGTTTATTTCTTGCAATTATGACTTTATAACTCGCAATTGCGAGTTTATATCTTGCAATTCTGACTTTATATCTCGTAATTCTGAGAAATAAAGTTAGAATTTAGCAATTCTGATATAAAATGTCGCAATTATCTTTTAAAATGTGTTATTCTGTGCCGAAAACAAGTTTCCATACAAATCTAAACCTAACCGATAGTATTAAAAGGCAAGCACATGAGAGCTCAAACATGCAGTGAGCAAGTTTACTACATTAGAAAAGTATGGAAGCTTGTTTCCGCCACAGAATGAAAAATAAAAGAGGTAATTGTGACTTTTTATCTCACAATTCAGACTTTTTTTTTCTCACAATTGCGAGTTTACATCTTGCAATTCTGATTTTATTTCTCAGAATTGCGAGATGTAAAGTTAAAATTGCGAGATAAAGTCACAATTGCGAGATATAAAGTCAGAAGTGCATGCTACAAAGTCACAATTGCGTTATAAAGTCAGAATTGCGAGATATAAAGTAAGAATTGCTAGATTTAAAGTCGCAATTACATGTTATAAAGTTAGAATTGCATGATACAAAGTCGCAATTGCGTTATAAAGTTAGAATTGCGAGATAAAAAGTAAGAATTGCTAGATATAAAGTTGCAATTGCATGTTATAAAGTTAGAAATGCATGATATAAAGTCAGAATTGAACCCCCCCCCCCCTATAAACTCGCAATTGTGTTAAGTCATAATTGTGAAATATAAAGTTGCAATTGCGTGTTATAGTCAATTTATAACACATGTAAACTCGCAATTGTGAGAAAAAAAGTCAGAATTGTTAGATAAAAAGTCGCACTTCTGACTTTATATCTCGCAATTCTGACTTTATAACACACAATTGCGACTTTATATCTCACAATTATGATTTTATAACA